TTAGTCTCTGCTGCTCTGGGCCAGGACTGGCTGCTTCTGGAAGTCCTGTTATCCACCTCTGACTCTGGAAGTAATGAACTATACACCTGACTCTGAAGGGTATGAAATATACACACACACACATGACTCACGAGGTAATGAAATATACACCTGGCTTTGAAGGTAACGAAATATACACCTGACTCTGGATGTAATGAACAATACACATGAATCTGGAGATAATTAATATATAAATGACTGGAGGTAATGAACTATACCTCTGACTCTGCAGGAAGGTACTATACACCTGAATCTGGAGGTAATGAACTATACACCTGACTCTGGTGGTAATGACTGAAGGCGCTATACGTTACACCTAACTCTATAGGAGTTGTACTGTACACCTGACTCTGGAGGTGCTGTACTCTACACGTGACTATGGAGGTGGTGTACTCTACACGTGACTATGGAGGTGGTGTACTCTACACATGACTATGGAGGTGGTGTACTCTACACGTGACTATGGAGGTGGTGTACTCTACACGTGACTATGGAGGTGGTGTACTCTACACATGACTATGGAGGTAGTGTACTCTACACATGACTATGGAGGTAGTGTACTCTACACATGACTATGGAGGCGGTGTACTCTACACATGACTATGGAGGTAGTGTACTCTACACATGACTATGGAGGCGGTGTACTCTACACATGACTATGGAAGTAGTGTACTCTACACATGACTATGGAGGCGGTGTACTCAACAGTGGCCTACGAGAGAGAGTGATGTCTGAAAGTACTTGTAGTAGATAAGTCGCTGGTGAGCGCATAAGTAAACACACGTGAAGAGGTGAATGTGTTCAGGTGTGTAAATCATAGAAAGAGGAGTTCAGATGAGTACAGCAGGTCAGGTGTGTGATGAGGCATATGTCTCGGCTGAGGATCTTGTGGCTGTAGGAAAACTCCAAAAATGGGCATTAACATTACAAAGAAATAACAAAATATTAATTTGCTGGAATAATTGATAATTTGTTCTCATCCTTCCTGCCACCCTCCCTTCACCCCCCCCCTCTCGTAATCCATTCCCTCCCCCACCTCTACAATACCCCCTCCCCCCACATCAACCGCCCCCCCCTGTCATTCCCTACCTCTACTTCACCCCTCCCCACCTACCTCACCCCACCCCCATCTTTACCTCACCCCCCTCTCTCCCACCTCACCAGTCCCCCACCTCACCCCCAGCCTCCCCATAGCAATGATTCATAAGCCTGTCTCCCCCATACTGCGACACAGAATGAACCAACGTCGGTCAATTTGTCTCTACGACTCCGTAAGGGAATTCTCCAGATTGCATCACCATGACCGGATGGCGCACGGTAACTCTAAATCCCAGTTGTGCATCTCGCGGCCTTCGTGTACATGTACAAAGTGTACTTTCCTCCCCCCACTGAATGATAAGAGAGGAACTATCAGACTGTCTCGCGGCGCCCGCGGCCACCTACACCACGCTGTCAAAACGTCCAAACTCAGGAGTTTAATGTGTACAGGAGAGAGTGTCCAGCTATTTCCGCAACTCCTTGATGTATTCCAGTCAGAGTTGCGCTGGCAGATCCACTATACACAAGGGCTGGTAGTATAACCTTCCTCAGGAAAGCATACACTCGTGACGTGACACAGCATGGACATACTCCCAGACGCACGGGAGGGCCATACAAGCCAAGGGGGGGAGGGGAACCACACACACACACACGTGTGGCCCCGCACCTTCATCATATCTCATGTAAATCATCTTCATCAATTAATCTCATCGATATCAACGTGACGAGTCAAGGGGGATTGTGAGGCTTACGTCCCGCGTCAGTAGATCACGACCGATGACTTGCCACCCAGACTAAAATCAGCTCTAATGTGTAACTTCCTAAGGGCGAGAGTCGCCCACACCGAGGGATATGAAGTAGCGGTCGATGATTGGGTCCCAGCTCCTTGTTCTGATTGACAGTGGTAATTTGCAATTGTAATTGCGTTCCCCTGGTTTAGAGGCGCGGCGTAGTATACTAACAAAATAATTAACATACTAAAAGGTAACTTTTCATATGTAAAGAATGTAATAACAATTTATCATAGAGCAGTGCCGAGAATATATGTAAATAGCTTCTGAGTAGTGGTTGGTAGTAGCTGGCAAGGTCTAGAAGGGGCTAGTAATTCTTGCAGGGGCTTACAGGGACTGGTAGGGGCTGGTAGAGGCTTCCAGGGACTCGTAGGGGTTGGTAGGGGCCGCTTAGGTTTGCTGGGGCTGGTAGCGGTATTTTGGGGATTGTAGGGATTAGTAAGGGCTCGTAGGATGGGAGGCTTAGTAACAGTGTAGAGTTCGCAAACAATCCAAGGATTGGGGGTGTGGGGAGGGATGGGGGAGTGTGGGGAGGGATGGGGGAGTGTGGGGAGGGAAGGGGCGGGGGTGTACAGGAGGGAGAGGATGGGGAGGAGCCAACACCTAGGCACCATCTATGGTTAGAGTTCACTTACCCTTCACTCGGGCATTGATTATTTATCGTCTTCTTCCGATGCAAAAATAACAAATACAGCCCATCACCAGAGAAACATATTAGATACATTGCTCAAGACGACTCGAGAGTCTATTGGGCTCAGCCACCCCCACCACGACCCCCACCACGACCCCCCCACCACGACCCCCCACCACGACCCCTCCCACCACGACCCCCCACCACGACCCCCCCACCACGACCCCCCCCACCACGACCCCCCCACCACGACCCCCCACCACGACCCCCCCACCACGACCCCCCCACCACGACCCCCCCACCACGACCCCCCACCACGACCCCCACCACGACCTCCTCCACGACCCCCCACCACGACCTCCACCACGATCCCCACCACGACCCCCCACCACGACCCCCCACCGACCCCCACCACGACCCCCCACTACGACCCCCCCACGACCCCCCACCACGACCCCCCACCACGACCTCTCACCACGACCCCCACCACGACCCCCCCCACCACGAACCCCACCACGACACCCCCACCACGATTCCCCCACCACGACCCCCCACCACGTCCCCCCACCACGACCCCCCACCACGACCTCTCACCACGACCTCCACGACCCCCACCACGACCTCCACGACCCCCACCACGACCCCCACCACGACCCCCACCACGACCCCCACGTGCTCTTGAGACAAAACTATAAAAATATGCCCTTGTCTGATGGAGAAATATCGTTTAAATACGATTAATGAGTAATTCACTTTTTTTATCACCAGTTGACTAGTTTGTAAACTGAATTATGTTCTTCTGGTTAAAGTTATCGTTTAATAATAATCCGCTTCTGGCGTAATGATAATTAATAGTTCCTGCTGAATTGTAAGTGAGTGAATAAGAGAATAGATAATAAATCCAGCCAGAGAAGAAGATAAAGAGCCCAGGCTCGCGGAAGCTATCATAGTACACAAAGAAATAACAATGGCTCTATATATCAATGATTTGTCATTGATCATTCATTCGGAGCGATGCGGAGGTTTGAAGCAGCCTTCTGAGGTCTCCCAGACACACTGATACACGTGTGTGTGTGCCTGTGTGTGTGTGTGTGTGTGTGTGTGTGTGTGTGTGTGTGTGTGTGCCTGTGTGTGTGTGTGTGTGTGTGTGTGTGTGTGTGTGTGTCTCATCAAAACGAGACGCCTCTTGGAGACCACAAAACTAATGACGTATTATACACCGAACATTATTTCGATGATATATGTGTCATACAGTCAATAATTGCTCTCTGTTAAATCGATGGTTTGGGAGGGTGTGGGTTTCGCCTAAGGAGAACGCGCGCGCGCGCGCGTACACACGAAAATAGGTCGGGAGTCAACAGATTAGACAACTGGACAACTACATTAACCGATTAGAAAGACGGGATCCAAGAGTTAACAGCGCCATCCTCCGCAGGCACAGATACTAAACACTCGCACGCGCGTGTGCACGCCATGGTCTCCGGGAGTGCCCCCAGGAGCGTCCAGTAGCGGTACTCAGTCCGGTGCCCCAGGACCTGCTACAGTGCCCCCTGCCCAAACACGCCCCAGGACTCCACCAACCCCAGTGCCCCCACTAACCCCAGTGCCCCCACCAAGCCTAGTGCCCCCACCAAGCCCAGTGCCCCCACCAAGCCCAGTGCCCCTACCAAGCCCAGTGCCCCCACCAAGCCCAGTGCCCCCACCAAGCCCAGTGCCCCCACCAAGCCCAGTGCCCCCACCAACCCCAGTGCCCTCCCCAACCCCAGTGCCCTCCCCAACCCCAGTGCCCCCACCAACCCCAGTGCCCTCCCACTGGTGTTATAACACAAGACCCCGCCCCTCCCCCCCCATCTTCCACACAGTAACTGGGGATGCTCACAGATACAGCATCAAACAGCAGTCTCGCGACACTCACAGCAAGAGCACACTTACCAATGCCTGGCGAAGTGGGTATACATACATACATACATACATACATACATACATACATACATACATACATACATACATACATACATACATACATATATACATTACATACATACAGCCAGGACTAATACATAAAAACATACTTAGCGGACATTCATTTGTCTGGAAAAGATACTTAACTGTTGAACCTTAAAAGATTTAAGTACCATTAAGACTTAAGATCCTTTAGACTTTTAAGATTCCTAAAAGGAGCCTTAAAGAGACATATACACATTAGTATGGAAACATTGTACACTACTCATAAACCAGGAATGAAATAGACCAAAAACTGACTGGTAGTGAACAACTGGAATGTTCAACGTGTCGGTAATGAACAACTGGAATGTTCAACGTGTCGGTAATGAACAACTGGAATGTTCAACGTGTCGGTAATGAACAACTGGAATGTTCAACGTGTCGATAATGAACAAGTGGAATGTTTAATATACTGGAGGGAACCAAGGAGAATATTCACTATTCCGATAATGAACAAGCGGAAGGTTCAAATATTCCGACAATGAGGAAGTGGGTTGTTAAAAATATGGCAGTGAACAAGTGGAATGTTCAACATACCGGTAGTGAGGAAATGGAATGTTCTTCATGCTAGTAGTGAATGTTAAACTTATGACAGTGGTGTGAATGTTGATGACAGGTGGACAGAGGTTGGTGACAGGTAGACAGAGGTTGCTGACAGGTGGACAGAGGTTGGTGACAGGTGGACAGAGGTTGGTGACAGGTGAAGAGAGGTTGGTGACAGGTGGACAGAGGTTGGTGACAGGTGGACAGAGGTTGGTGACAGGTGGACAGAGGTTGGTGACAGGTAGACAGAGGTTGCTGACAGGTGGACAGAGGTTGGTGACAGGTGGACAGAGGTTGGTGACAGGTGCACAGAGGTTGGTGACAGGTGCACAGAGGTTGCTGACAGGTAGACAGAGGTTGGTGACAGGTGGACAGAGGTTGGTGACAGGTGCACAGAGGTTGGTGACAGGTGGACAGAGGTTGGTGACAGGTGGACAGAGGTTGGTGACAGGTGGACAGAGGTTGGTGACAGGTGGACAGAGGTTGGTGACAGGTGGACAGAGGTTGCTGACAGGTAGACAGAGGTTGGTGACAGGTGGACAGAGGTTGGTGACAGGTGAACAGAGGTTGGTGACAGGTGGACAGACTGATCACAAGTGTTCAGTCTATATGTTAAAGCGAAAGCAATTGTTTGTTAATGAAAATAAGACGCCCGCCCTCTCTCTCACGCAGTCCCTCCAGGAGACATTCCTCTTGAGATTGCCTAAAGTGTGTGTGTTCACTGCTAGGTGAACAAAGGGAACAGGTGAAAGAAACTCTGCTCATTTATTTCTACCTTGGCCTGAAACAAACCCGGGGTCGTGGACTGCTAACTCCGAGCACTGTCCGCTCGGCCGCGAGACCCTCTGTGTGCGCGCGCGAGCGCGCGTTGTGCGGTGTTTGCGTGCATGGAACATGTTCTAATGTTCCATGCACTCGTTGTAATGTTTCTCGAACTCTCACATGCTGCTGATGTTACCTCGACTACGTGTGCCTCTGTTTTAGTGCTGGAATTATTATACTCCCCTTTCAAGAATTGTTCTACCGTGGCGAGGCGGGAGGTGGCGAGGCGGGAGGTGGCGAGGCGGGAGGTGGCGAGGCGGGAGGTGGCGAGGCGGGAGGTGGCGAGGCGGGAGGTGGCGAGGCGGGAGGTGGCGAGGCGGGAGGTGGCGAGGCGGGAGGTGGTGAGGCGGGAGGTGGCGAGGCGGGAGGTGGCGAGGCGGGAGGTGGCGAGGCGGGAGGTGGCGAGGCGGGAGAAACAAGTGCCTGTGGGGGAGTCATGGCAAACACAACGACAGATTTCAGTGTTGTAAATGCTTGTGAGAACAATGGAAGCACCGGAAGATTGGGTGGAGAAGGAGAAGGAGGAGGAGGATGAAAGGAAGTGTGTTTTGTGGTTATAGGAAAATACGAGAGAAGAAGATTATAATTATTAGTTGTAAAATCAGGCTACTGTTGGGATGCTGAGACTGTTGGGATGCTGAGACTGTTGGGATGCTGACACTGTTGGGATGCTGACACTGTTGGGATGCTGAGACTGATGGGATGCTGAGACTGTTGGGATGCTGAGACTGATGGGATGCTGAGACTGTTGGGATGCTGAGACTGTTGGGATGCTGAGACTGTTGGGATGCTGAGACTGTTGGGATGCTGACACTGTTGGGATGCTGACACTGTTGGGATGCTGAGACTGATGGGATGCTGAGACTGTTGGGATGCTGTGACTGATGGGATGCTGAGACTGTTGGGATGCTGAGACTGTTGGGATGCTGAGACTGTTGGGATGCTGAGACTGTTGGGATGCTGAGACTGTTGGGATGCTGAGACTGATGGGATGCTGAGACTGTTGGGATGCTGAGACTGTTGGGATGCTGAGACTGTTGGGATGCTGAGACTGTTGGGATGCTGACACTGTTGGGATGCTGAGACTGTTGGGATGCTGAGACTGATGGGATGCTGAGACTGTTGGGCTGCTGACACTGTTGGGCTGCTGAGACTGTTGGGATGCTGAGACTGTTGGGATGCTGAGACTGCTGGGATGCTGAGACTGTTGGGATGCTGAGACTGTTGGGATGCTGAGACTGTTGGGATGCTGAGACTGTTGGGATGCTGAGACTGTTGGGATGCTGGGATGCTGAGACTGTTGGGATGCTGAGACTGTTGGGTTGCTGAGACTGTTGGGATGCTGAGACTGTTGGGATGCTGAGACTGCTGGGATGCTGAGACTGTTGGGATGCTGAGACTGTTGGGATGCTGAGACTGTTGGGATGCTGAGACTGCTGGGATGCTGACACTGTTGGGATGCTGAGACTGTTGGGATGCTGAGACTGTTGGGCTGCTGAGACTGTTGGGCTGCTGAGACTGTTGGGCTGCTGAGACTGTTGGGCTGCTGAGACTGTTGGGATGCTGAGACTGTTGGGATGCTGACGCTGTTGGGATGCTGAGACTGTTGGGATGCTGAGACTGTTGGGATGCTGACACTGTTGGGATGCTGACACTGTTGGGATGCTGACACTGTTGGGATGCTGAGAGTACATAACGATGGAAAACCACGAGAAGGTCCATGATGCTCATATTGTTCACAACAGGTGCCACAACAGGTGCCACACCAACAGGTGCCACAACAGGTGCCACACCAACAGGTGTCACAACAGGTGCCACAACAGGGCCACACAAACAGGTACCACACCAACAGGTGCCACAACAGGTGCCACAACAGGTGCCACACCAACAGGTGCCACAACAGGTGCCACACCAACAGGTGCCACAACAGGTGCCACACCAACAGGTGCCACACCAACAGGTGCCACAACAGGGCCACACAAACAGGTGCCACACCAACAGGTGCCACAACAGGTGCCACACCAACAGGTGCCACAACAGGTGCCACACCAACAGGTGCCACAACAGGTGCCACACCAACAGGTGTCACAACAGGTGCCATACCAACAGGTGCCACAACAGGGCCACACCAACAGGTGCCACACCAACAGGTGCCACAACAGGTGCCACACCAACAGGTACCACAACAACAGGTGCCACAACAGGTGCCACACCAACAGGTGCCACAACAGGTGCCACAACAGGTGCCACACCAACAGGTACCACAACAACAGGTGCCACAACAGGTGCCACACCAACAGGTGCCACAACAGGTGCCACACCAACAGGTACCACAACAACAGGTGCCACACCAACAGGTGCCACACCAACAGGTGCCACACCAACAGGTGTCACACCAACAGGTACCACACAAACAGGTGCCACACCAACAGGTGCCACAACAGGTGCCACACCAACAGGTGCCACACAAACAGGTGCCACACCAACAGGTGCCACAACAGGTGCCACACCAACAGGTGTCACACCAACAAGGTGCCACAACACCACCACCTGCACCACCCACCATTGAGGAAAGGTGTTGTGGAGGTCAGTTCCATCCGCAACTTCAAAAAGGAAATATAAAAAAAAACGTACAGGTTGAGGGAAGAATAATTTGCGCGTCGGGTAGGAGGCGGGAGGGGGGGGGGGCATGGAGAGCTAGCCCTCGGTCCCTCCTTGGTCACTCATAGGTAAGCAACACCACCACCAACAGCAACAGTAGCACTAGCAGCAACAGCACCAACAACAGCAACAGTAGCACTAGCAGCAACAGTAGCACTAGCAGCAGCAGCAGCAACAGCAGCAGCAGCAGCAACAGCAACAGTAGCACTAGCAGCAACAGCAGGAGCAGCAGCACCAACAACAGCAACAGTAGCACTAGCAGCAACAGCAGGAGCAGCAGCACCAACGACAGCAACAGTAGCACTAGCAGCAACAGCAGGAGCAGCAGCACCAACAACAGCAACAGTAGCACTAGCAGCAACAGCAGCAGCAGCAGCACCAACAACAGCAACAGTAGCCCTAGCAGCAACACCAACAACAGCAACAGTAGCACTAGCAGCAACAGCAGGAGCAGCAGCACCAGCAACAGTAGCACTAGCAGCAACAGCAGCAGCAGCAGCACCAACAACAGCAACAGTAGCCCTAGCAGCAACACCAACAACAGCAACAGTAGCACTAGCAGCAACAGCAGCAGCACCAACAACAGCAACAGTAGCCCTAGCAGCAACACCAACAACAGCAACAGTAGCACTAGCAGCAACAGCAGCAGCACCAACAACAGCAACAGTAGCACTAGCAGCAACAGCAGCAGCAGCAGCACCAACAACAGCAACAGTAGCCCTAGCAGCAACACCAACAACAGCAACAGTAGCCCTAGCAGCAACACCAACAACAGCAACAGTAGCACTAGCAGCAACACCAACAACAGCAACAGTAGCACTAGCAGCAACAGCAGCAGCAGCAGCACCAACAACAGCAACAGTAGCACTAGCAGCAACAACAGCAACAGCTGCAGCACCAACAACAGCAACAGTAGCCCTAGCAGCAACACCAACAACAGCAACAGCAGCAGCAGCAGCAGCACCAACAACAGCAACAGTAGCCCTAGCAGCAACAACAGCAACAGTAGCACTAGCAGCAGCAGCAGCACCAACAACAGCAACAGTAGCACTAGCAGCAACAGTAGCACTAGCAGCAACAACAGCAACAGCAGCAACACCAACAACAGCAGCAACACCAACAACAGCAACAGTAGCACTAGCAGCAGCACCAACAACAGCAACAGTAGCACTAGCAGCAACAGCAGCAGCAGCAGCACCAACAACAGCAACAGTAGCCCTAGCAGCAACAACAGCAACAGTAGCACTAGCAGCAGCAGCAGCACCAACAACAGCAACAGTAGCACTAGCAGCAACAACAGCAACAGCAGCAACACCAACAACAGCAACAGTAGCACTAGCAGCAACAGCAGCAGCACCAACAACAGCAACAGTAGCACTAGCAGCAGCAGCAACAGCACCAACAACAGCAACAGTAGCCCTAGCAGCAGCACCAACAACAGCAACAGTAGCACTAGCAGCAGCAGCAGCAGCACCAACAACAGCAACAGTAGCACTAGCAGCAACAGCAGCAGCACCAACAACAGCAACAGTAGCACTAGCAGCAGCAGCAGCAGCACCAACAACAGCAACAGTAGCACTAGCAGCAACAGCAGCAGCACCAACAACAGCAACAGTAGCCCTAGCAGCAACAACAGCAACAGCAACAGTAGCACTAGCAGCAGCAGCAGCACCAACAACAGCAACAGTAGCACTAGCAGCAACAGTAGCACTAGCAGCAACAACAGCAACAGCAGCAACACCAACAACAGCAACAGTAGCACTAGCAGCAGCACCAACAACAGCAACAGTAGCACTAGCAGCAACAGCAGCAGCAGCAGCACCAACAACAGCAACAGTAGCCCTAGCAGCAACAACAGCAACAGTAGCACTAGCAGCAGCAGCAGCACCAACAACAGCAACAGTAGCACTAGCAGCAACAACAGCAACAGCAGCAACACCAACAACAGCAACAGTAGCACTAGCAGCAGCAGCAGCAGCACCAACAACAGCAACAGTAGCACTAGCAGCAGCACCAACAACAGCAACAGTAGCACTAGCAGCAGCAGCAGCAGCACCAACAACAGCAACAGTAGCACTAGCAGCAGCAGCAGCAGCACCAACAACAGCAACAGTAGCACTAGCAGCAACACCAACAACAGCAACAGTAGCACTAGCAGCAACACCAACAACAGCAACAGTAGCACTAGCAGCAACAGCAGCAGCAGCAGCACCAACAACAGCAACAGTAGCACTAGCAGCAACAACAGCAACAGCAACAGTAGCACTAGCAGCAACAGCAGCAGCACCAACAACAGCAACAGTAGCCCTAGCAGCAACACCAACAACAGCAACAGTAGCACTAGCAGCAACAGCAGCAGCAGCAGCACCAACAACAGCAACAGTAGCCCTAGCAGCAACACCAACAACAGCAACAGTAGCACTAGCAGCAACAGCAGCAGCACCAACAACAGCAACAGTAGCCCTAGCAGCAACACCAACAACAGCAACAGTAGCACTAGCAGCAACAGCAGCAGCACCAACAACAGCAACAGTAGCACTAGCAGCAACAGCAGCAGCAGCAGCACCAACAACAGCAACAGTAGCCCTAGCAGCAACACCAACAACAGCAACAGTAGCCCTAGCAGCAACACCAACAACAGCAACAGTAGCACTAGCAGCAACACCAACAACAGCAACAGTAGCACTAGCAGCAACAGCAGCAGCAGCAGCACCAACAACAGCAACAGTAGCACTAGCAGCAACAACAGCAACAGCTGCAGCACCAACAACAGCAACAGTAGCCCTAGCAGCAACACCAACAACAGCAACAGCAGCAGCAGCAGCAGCACCAACAACAGCAACAGTAGCCCTAGCAGCAACAACAGCAACAGCAACAGTAGCACTAGCAGCAGCAGCAGCACCAACAACAGCAACAGTAGCACTAGCAGCAACAGTAGCACTAGCAGCAACAACAGCAACAGCAGCAACACCAACAACAGCAGCAACACCAACAACAGCAACAGTAGCACTAGCAGCAGCACCAACAACAGCAACAGTAGCACTAGCAGCAACAGCAGCAGCAGCAGCACCAACAACAGCAACAGTAGCCCTAGCAGCAACAACAGCAACAGTAGCACTAGCAGCAGCAGCAGCACCAACAACAGCAACAGTAGCACTAGCAGCAACAACAGCAACAGCAGCAACACCAACAACAGCAACAGTAGCACTAGCAGCAACAGCAGCAGCACCAACAACAGCAACAGTAGCACTAGCAGCAGCAGCAGCAGCACCAACAACAGCAACAGTAGCCCTAGCAGCAGCACCAACAACAGCAACAGTAGCACTAGCAGCAGCAGCAGCAGCACCAACAACAGCAACAGTAGCACTAGCAGCAACAGCAGCAGCACCAACAACAGCAACAGTAGCACTAGCAGCAGCAGCAGCAGCACCAACAACAGCAACAGTAGCACTAGCAGCAACAGCAGCAGCACCAACAACAGCAACAGTAGCCCTAGCAGCAACAACAGCAACAGCAACAGTAGCACTAGCAGCAGCAGCAGCACCAACAACAGCAACAGTAGCACTAGCAGCAACAGTAGCACTAGCAGCAACAGCAACAGCAGCAGCACCAACAACAGCAACAGTAGCACTAGCAGCAGCACCAACAACAGCAACAGTAGCACTAGCAGCAACAGCAGCAGCAGCAGCACCAACAACAGCAACAGTAGCCCTAGCAGCAACAACAGCAACAGCAACAGTAGCACTAGCAGCAGCAGCAGCACCAACAACAGCAACAGTAGCACTAGCAGCAACAACAGCAACAGCAGCAACACCAACAACAGCAACAGTAGCACTAGCAGCAGCAGCAGCAGCACCAACAACAGCAACAGTAGCACTAGCAGCAGCACCAACAACAGCAACAGTAGCACTAGCAGCAGCAGCAGCAGCACCAACAACAGCAACAGTAGCACTAGCAGCAGCAGCAGCAGCACCAACAACAGCAACAGTAGCACTAGCAGCAACACCAACAACAGCAACAGTAGCACTAGCAGCAACACCAACAACAGCAACAGTAGCACTAGCAGCAAC